GTAGAAATTTAGGGAATTTTGGTAAGTTTTTACTGTTTCATAGTGGGTATACCCCCCCCGCTCGACGGCATTTTTGGAGGAAAAAGTGGGCGGAGTTTGGTGGGTTGAGTGGTACCAGAATTAAATACTATAGAGAGGAATATGGTGGTCGAGGGTCGAAAAGGGGGTCGTACCAAATCCACCTTGGGGGAGGGGGGTCGTAAAAATTTTTGAAAAAGTAACAACGATAGGACTGACCCTGTTCCCAATAAGGTCACGAGCTCGAACAAGTGACCATTTGAAAGTAATCCCGCAAGAAAAACGACTTGATTATAATTTCGCAATAGCAGTTGTCATAGTAACAAGTAGAAAATGAGACTTGAGCTACACTCGTAGCTCTCTGATTGCTCATTATGTACAATGAAAGAAGCGGTGGGAGCGACGGCAAGGTGTTTATTTCTGAAAAGGTTCCGATTAACAATCAATGAAAACTGCCTGCGTGGACGATGATCTCTGTGGAGCTGCGCTGCGGGACAGATTATAGACATCCCATTAGCAGTGATCTTTGATGGAAATAGGGGTAGAGCTCTTAATCGTTATTATCACATGTTCCAGGATACGCCGTGCGTTCGTCCTCCACTCGAAATTGCAGAGGGTAACGAGTAGTATTGGGCTGTTTGGAAAGTTTCCGCCGTTTTATAGCTCACTTTTGAATGCTTTATTTCTGGGTCACTTTCAAGAAACTGCCAACACTTTATATATCGTTAGAAAGCGCGTTCCTCGCTCTATCCAAATCTACTGTTTTTTCAACCCTGAATCACTTTTCCACTTTTTTGAAGTCTTGAATACAACATACTCAACAGCCTGCTTTGCACTAGTTTCTTGTTTCCCCTCAAACTTGCTCGGAAATGTGCGGAAGCAAGTTGCGATATCAACTAAGCATTTGGTTCAGAGTCCACAAAAAATACGCTGTGCAGTCGTAATTCAAAATGTCTTTCTCGCGATGTTGAGACCGCCGTCACACTCGGCGATCGCGATCGCTCCATCGCTTGTCCGTCGCCGAGTGTGACGGCGGTCAGAAAGCTTTAAAGTTGATTAGGGTCAAGCTCGGATATCGGAGACTGATAAAGATCAGCTGAGGGTTTTGACCAAACCAAATCTGCATGAAACTGTTGAACAGGCTGCTTCTGAATTAGGCGTAACCGACATAAGGTTTCAAACATAGCGGTGAGGGTAAAAACCCAAAGAAGTCGAAAATTGGTGCCGCCGACTCTTCTACCCACTGTTGCACAACCCCATCTCGCACTTCTGCTGAGCTACGAAATTGTGCTCTAAACGTCTTACACACTAGACCTATTGCCTACAATTATCACTTTACTAAACGGCTGAAAGGTCTACGTAGAGAGATTGAGCATAGAACTCAAAGTGGTGGTAACGATTTTTTTTTCCTTTTTTTTTTGTTCTTTATTACGCTACCGACAGTGAACGAATTGTTTATTGTTTATTGTTTCGTACGTCAAAAGACATGCCGTCAAACACATGAAGATGGCTCGTAAAAGGAAGGATCAAAGTATATAAAGAATAAACTCCACAAAAGACAAGAAAAGTCCTAAAAAGATGCTAAGGAGGATAAGACCATCATCAAATCATCATAGAATACTGAGACGCTGAGCATTGCCAATTAGGGACAACGAACTAAAAACTTAGCTCAATACGTGCAGTGCAAGACGAGAGCTAGAGACGATTTATGAAGTGTCTTGGCGCAATTCTGCCCATTTTCGGTACGATCTCCCACCCATACGACAAGTATAATGGCCAACGTTCCTTGGGTCAGGAAACCATACATCCTTTCCCTGATCTCTGGGCAGGGTGCGTTCGGCCGATTTCAAAGCTTTTCAAGACTTCAGCAGAGGGCTAATTTCGTCGATTGCATCTCCTTCAACAAGCGACAGGTCAGAACTTCAAATTGAAATCCATGGGTTGCACGGTGGGACCGATCTGTAGGCTGAGGCTTGCATGAAGTTTCACCTTTTAGTGATTTATTTGAGAAGATGCTTGGAGGGATCCCATGCACCCCATTGCGTACGAAAGTCAACGCTTTTCATAGCCCGTGTCAACGGGGGGATTTCTTAGATTTGGTAATATTTACGATTCACGATTGAACAGTGAATGTTACTGCATTTTTGGTTTCTTGGAATTGTGGCATGTTCATTCTAGGCGACTCGAAATCGCTGTCGCTATAATTTTGGCGAACCCTGTATTTTTCTCTCACAGCTGGATTCAGTGAAAGCCACTGGACGTGGGAAGCAACTGAATCCACTTTTGAGGAATTTTTTATCGTTTTGTCATCCTTTTGCATAACTCCATGGCAAACTTCATTTAATATATAGTATATTTTATACTAGGTAGATTTTGTTCTCTTCACTCTGAGCTGTGCAGATCAGAATTTAGTTGAAGATAGAGATTTGAATATCGGTGTCGTTACAGTGATCAACAAATTACCAAGATCAAGCGAGGAAGCGGTATTCCATGATTCCCTAAATATGATCTATGCTATTATATTATATTATTATACAAGTTATTTGTGAAGTCTGAGCACTCACAAATATAAAAGCTGCACCAAGAAGTATAGCTCTTGCTTCCACGTGGAGATTTGTTAGAACTGCAAATACAGAAACTTTTGGTGATCGAGAAGTGAAGAGGGTACTAAAAGTACTGCCAACTCATAAAACAGATGTGTCAATTGCTCCATATGTTTTCTAGTAACTACAGCTCAATCGCAGCGTTTCTCACCGGTTCACAGGCAGGTCTTAAAGGCAAAGTTCGGGCTCAGACCCACCCAATAAGCCCTTAAAGCTCAGACACACTGACAGA